TTAAATTATTAGTATTTTTTCCTTTCTCTCTCTCTCTCTCTCTCTCTCTCTCTCTCTTTCTCTGTCTATATGTGAACAATGTCAATGTTATCCTTCTTTTTTTACAATCTATAGAGACCCCATTATGGCTGCTGTTGCAAATAGCACCCATCAAGAACGAACGAGACCTCGTGGTCCTGTTCCTGCTGACGTTTCGAGACATCACCGCTTTAAAGCAACCCATCGAAACGGACGACAGCAAAGGCGGCCTGTCCAAATTTGCCAAGCTCGCCAGATCGGTTACCAGATCGAGATCGGTTTTAGTTTCTCAGTTCAGCTCCCATCTGCCGGCCCTGAAAGATACAGCCGTACCAACCACTACCAAACAATCGCATTTGGGTCATGTAAGTTGCTACGATACTCCAGGATTCTATAAAAATTAAAAATTAAAAATCTATATTTTTCTTTATATATTTTTGTTATTTTTACGTGCCATGCTGTTTTGTTAATATCGGAATGATTTTTCCATTTTGAAATATACATTTCGATGTTCCTTTTCTTTTTACCGTATCTACTCAAAGTATACGAATATCATTTCAAAGCAGTTTCTATAATAATGGTATAGTGGTAGCTGCAGTCAATTTATAAAATTTCATTTATAAATCGATAAAATGGAAATGTATTTTCAATATGCCGACTGTGTCGGGAAATGGAAAGCTGAGAACACATTTGCATGAATTTTCTTCCAAAATCAACCTTGTGCATTCGAAAGCTCTTTGGAGCGTGAAAAGCTAATGGAGCCAGACGGTATAAGAAAGAAATATCAGATAGATGAGAGAGACGCGATGGATAAGAAATCGGATGCGCAAACAATAAAAATAATTTGTTTTTCTTGATAATGAATTTCTTTACGACGTATTCCCTTCGATTTAGTCTTTAAGTCAACGAATTAAATATATGTATAAACGACTTGGTATCACGATTTGGTATAATTATTTTTTGTAAAAAAGAAAGAATTTTGAGGAAAAAAAGAAAATTTATTTTTTGAAATATTTTTTGAAATATTACGTTTTCCTTTCAGATGATGTCCCTAAGTGGCGATGTTATGCCACAATACAGACAAGAAGCGCCGAAAACACCGCCGCACATTCTACTGCATTACTGCGCATTTAAAGCAATTTGGGACTGGATCATTTTGTGTTTGACTTTTTATACAGCCATCATGGTGCCGTATAACGTCGCGTTTAAAAATAAGACTAGCGAGGATGTCTCTCTGTTAGTTGTAGACAGTATCGTTGACGTGATATTCTTTATCGATATTGTGCTAAATTTTCACACAACGTTTGTTGGCGCTGGTGGAGAAGTGGTATCTGATCCGAAGGTAATTTTAATTTTATCCAAATCTCCGCGAGCAATTCAATCATTTAGAGAAAATATATAATTTTAATAATTGTATATATATATAATTTTTATAAAATAATTTGCTCTCATCTTCTTAATGTAAGGTAAGGAACAAGGGAATTGGTTCTGTAACGTAAATTAATTTGATACTTTCAGGTAATCAGAATGAACTATCTGAAATCTTGGTTCCTCATAGATTTACTAAGCTGTCTACCGTATGATGTATTTAACGCCTTCGATCACGATGAGGACGGGATAGGTAGCCTGTTCTCAGCGCTGAAGGTGGTACGGCTGCTGCGACTCGGCAGAGTCGTACGCAAGTTAGATCGTTATCTGGAGTACGGTGCCGCGATGCTCATTCTTCTGCTCTGTTTCTACATGTTGGTTGCTCACTGGCTGGCCTGTATCTGGTACGTCATATTAAGGTGATTTTACCCCCTGTGTACACACACGTATATTCAAGGTAACGCACACCTCCCCGACTGGGATGGATATGGCCGCGATAGTGCAATCATTACACCGTTACAATACTACACACATATACAGAGAGCCCTCGTAATATTCTTTTATTTCTTTTATTTCTCGTAAATTATCTGTCGCTTCGTTACCTCTTGAAAATTAAAAATAATCGACTTTGACCTTTGAATCTTGTATTCTTTCTTATTACCAAACTGAACTTATTGTACCAGTTAGTTAAAAGAAGACATTTGATAAAACGTAAAGGAGAGAGGATGAGGATGAGAAATGCGAAGTATCGCAACAATATTTAATATAAAAATATAAGTTGAAATAAAGAATCGAGAACTTTAGAAGCGTTTGAGTAAAGACGTTAGACGCATTTAATTCCGCGCGATCGTAAAAAGGGGATGGTGATCTGCGGTGACTCGCATCTAAAATGCAATCTCTCGTTTCTCTCGTATCAATCTCCTGTCCAGCGGATCCGGATGTGGTCTCGTAAGAGATCTCCTCTGCGTTAAAGGTACTCGATAGGGAGATCGGACGCCGACAATGGGCTGCAATACTCGTGGTTGTGGAAGTTGGCCAACGTTACTCAGTCACCGTATAGCTACTTGTGGACCAATGCCAGCACCGCACCCGAACTAGTGGCCGGGCCTTCACGCCGCACGATGTACGTCACTGCTCTTTACTTCACAATGACTTGCATGACCTCCGTGGGCTTTGGAAACGTCGCGGCCGAAACCGACAATGAGAAGATCTTCACCATCTGCATGATGATTATCGCTGGTACGGATATACCGTAATACTAATTCCTCGCTGAAAACTGATATATGTACAAAATACATTTTTCGATCATCCGGGTTTGAAATGATAAAATTAAACAATATTATAATATTTGTAATTTGTGCGTAAAATAAATGATATCGCTATTCTTTTTCTTTCTCTCTCTCTCTCTCTCTCTCTCTCTCTCTCTCTCTTCTCTTTCTCTTTCTCTCTCCCTCCAACCAGCCTTATTGTACGCCACGATCTTCGGTCATGTCACCACGATTATCCAACAAATGACGTCCGCCACCGCCAAGTATCACGATATGTTGAACAACGTGAGGGAATTCATGAAGCTCCACGAAGTGCCGAAAGCTCTTAGCGAACGCGTTATGGATTACGTCGTCAGCACGTGGGCCATGACGAAGGGCCTGGATACAGACAAAGTCCTCAACTACTGCCCTAAGGATATGAAGGCCGACATTTGTGTGCACCTCAATCGGAAGGTCTTCAACGAACATCCCGCCTTTAGGTAAGTTCTATCATCTACGTCAGAACGTCTCTTTATACTTTTAAACGGTTCAATTTTTAGAAATTAATAATCTTAATTTTTTTTTTTTTTTTCAAAATTAAATAATTTTGAATTTGTAAATATATTTTATTTGTCACGTTAAATTTTTAACTCTCCCTACTCCTCTACTACTATTTCTTTATCCAGGCTGGCGTCCGACGGGTGTCTGCGCGCGTTGGCGATGCACTTCACGATGTCGCATAGCGCGCCGGGCGATCTGCTGTATCACACGGGGGAATCCATCGATTCTCTATGCTTCATCGTGACCGGCAGCCTTGAAGTCATACAGGACGACGAAGTGGTGGCTATACTGGGGAAAGGCGACGTTTTCGGGGATAGCTTTTGGACGAATCCGACGATCGGCCAGAGCGCGGCGAACGTCCGGGCGCTCACCTACTGCGATTTGCACACAATCAAGCGAGATCGGCTGTTGGAAGTGTTGGACTTTTATCAAGCCTTCGCGAACTCCTTCGCCAGGAACCTGATCCTAACTTACAACCTGAGTCATCGGGTAAGTCTTCCCTTAAATGAAAAGGATCAAATTTTTAAAAAAATTTTTTTTCTGTACAAACTACACTAAATGTGTAGTTGTAAAAATTGGATGGAAACAATGTGCGCGAGTCAAACGGAAAAGATAGATTTTTGATTTGTTTATTGAACTTTTAATCTTACATTAGTGCGATTTCCTTTGACCTTACGTTTTTGGCAAACGATCGTAGCCGTTTGCATATTTCTTTTTATTCTTTACACGACGAGTATACGATTATACAGTCTTAGTTAACAAAAGCGATTTATATGGCACATGGTTTATTCGTTTATATCAATAATAATCAACATACGCAGAGAACGAAAAAATTAACAATTGTAACGACTCGTCAGGCACTAGACAATAGGCATTCAGGCCACGCAATAATCGGCATTCTTTAATATCATAGCACTGAATAAATGCATATATATATATATATACATGATATAATAAAGTTGCACGATAAGAGTAATCGAATGATTGAAAAAACAGGCCGTTACAAAGGGGGACAAAAGTCCTAATGATATATTTAGATATTTAAATAATTACGAACAGATATGTCTTATCCAAGTCTGTAAAAAATATACACGGAACTCATTCTCTCTTCCGCTCTCTCTCGTACATACAGACTTGTACATACAGAAACGCTTTCACTCAAGTTTTGCAACAATTTTCGTAATGTAATTCGTTTCTATTAATACATAACTATCTGCTTCTCGTGTCACGTTATCACTTGAATTCGTTTCAACTTGAAAGATACATACATTCGTGTAAAATGGGAGAACTCGTATTTTAAATATCGCTATATAATTATGAGTTTTTTTTTAATACATTTCTTGTACCCGCATATATTCCATTACAACGATTAGAATCGATAACAAATTTTATAATAGATTTTATTCTGTGTAAAATCAATCAATTTTAAATATCTGCAAATATCTTCATATCCTCTCTTAGCCGTTCTCTCTTTCTTTCTGCTCAAGTTCTCTCATAAAAATCTCTATATTTATCACAATTATTCTTGCTCCTCGCGAAATCCCTCACTGTGTAACTTACGACCGGACAATTCCAGTATAACTTTCGATGTTGGATCTCGATCTAACACAGACTTCATTTCGCGCACGTTCTCTTCCACTTCCGGCACTGGACCGACTCCCCATACTTCGCAATGTTTGATTTTGAAATCTTCCTTACCGCTAAGTTGTACATAATTTTGAAAAGTCGTACACGACGAACTCGATTTGCCGGTGCCGTATTCACAATCCAACCAGAGGCCGGGATAATTAAGCTGTCCCCCCATAAGCAGGCCGTTAGGCATCGTTTGCTGATGGAGATTGAGATACTGATAATGATTGTTATAATTCGTCGATGAAAATGTCAGTATTTCCGGCTCGAGCTTGAATAGAAATGACGTTTGATTTCCTATGAAGTTCGGCCCTAGTTTCCAGCTGTCCGAGGCAAATCCGCCGAACACATGATCATCCATATCCTGTAGTATGATGATCGTTGCACCTTGCATCACGATCCTTCCTAACATAGTGGAGAACGACTCGCCGTGCACCTGACTCGAAAACAAAAATCGCCATTCGTTACGTAACTCGTGTGGCAGACTTAAATTCAGGAACAGAACATCTCCTAAGCCTAGTATACTCGGAAAGTGCGGTATATTCTCTAAACCCTTGCACAATGGCAGAAGATTTAAATCATTTATTCGCGCCCCTGTATTTTTATCGCTACCCTTCTTCTGGGAGACTAAATAGAGATACTGGAAAACGTGCGATTGAATGTTCTTGTACGTAGCAGCCGTCGTAAACCAATTTTCCACTTGATCGACGGTTAAGACGTCCCCGTACTTTATCAGTTCCTCGCAGAGGCTGCGAGAACGCATCCCTATACGTCTGGTATTGACAGTGCAGCCGATGCTGCTCCAAGTGAGGTAATGCGCATTACCGGAATTCTTTTGTAATCGCAAGTAAGAGTTAATCGTTGCTTGAATATACTGAAGGAACGTAACGGTGGGCATTTCATATTTTTGTTCTTCCTCCGAGAAGCCATCGAACACTAAGTTGGTGCGTTCCTCGGGATTGCCACGTACGGCAAAGACATAGAGTCGACCAAAGTTTTCCCCATTGATAGTTGAGACTCGCTTGCCTGGATCATGACAGAGGAATCTAACTACAAACTGCAGCAGTATATCGTCCAAGTGTATAGACCAATGCTTGAATATATCCTCGCGTTTGATGGAACCTGAGCTGCGGGACATAGATTTAAAGAGGTTCTCCACTAACGTCAATTCTTCTGTGGAAAGGATATTCGCCGAGGAAGCAGAACGACTTGATCCATGACCCATCTGAAACATTTAACATTACATTGCATCAATTATTCAGTTCATTTCAAAAGCATCTTCCTTTACTCCTTCTAGTCAAATTATACTTTCTAAGTATCATTTAATTCTGAGAACTTAATGCGTGAAAATGTGTCAACAGCAACAATTATTTTATGGGTATTGTTACACTCTATCTATAACATTAACACATTGTCAAAGTGCAAAATCAATACAACCGCTAACGTCAGATTACATAGATAGGCAGGTCAAAGTCTTAACACCTTCCTCTCTTCTGTAGACGTTTTAGAATTTTTATGGAACATGCTCTACCTTCCCTTGCTATCGACTTTGAGATCATAAAAGGAATACTATGACACACGTTACGTTATCGATAAGTATATTTTATGCACCTTTCGTACGGATGAGCAGCCTTTCCCGACAGTCCATATACCTTCTCGTCTTCCACCCGGTCGCTCTGTGTGTATATCGAGGACACAAGGAGAACCACTACCCCCGTTACCTTTTTCGGAGCGCACGGCACGTGTCGGTGACGCGACGTTGCGTCGCGTCACGTTACGTCACGTCACGTCACGTCACGTCACGTCGTCGCACGGACGATCGTCCGATTGACTCGGACACGCTCGCCAAAAAATTTCGAGGTTATGCGGAATCTCGCGCGAGTAAGCGAGCGAGCGTGCGGCTCGCTGCTACGAGTGCGCGCCTCTTCTTGCCGACGCTCGACCACCTATCGACTTCCGTCATTGCGCCTGCGCGGCGGCCCTTCGCCGCCCGTCATCGCGCGTACGCTTGTACGCATTGTCTATACGAACGTCTTTGCGCATTTTCCCCGGCTTGTCACGAGAGTAATGAGAACTAACGGGTAACGCGAAAGGGTTGTGAAGCAGTGATGCAATGGCAAATCGTCCGGAGCATAAATTTGGGAAATTTCGAAAGCAGACGGGAGAGCTCGGTAAAAAAATTTTTTACGCAGAACATATATAAATATATGTAATTTTAGATACGAAATATCTTCCATATTAGAAACATGTTCGTATTAGCTTCTTTCTTTTGTAAAATTTCTATTTGGTATAAGAAAAATAGTAGTAATAATGAGAAAACGTAAAAAAAAAAAAATAATTAAAAGAATAATTTTTGCATTGTTTCTTTTACAAAAATATTAAATTTGAAGAAATGAGAAATATTGAACTATATATAATCATATATATATATTTTTAATCATAAATATATATAATTATACATGGGTAATTTTCTCATATCTTCAAAATTTAACTTTAAAAAAACAATGCGAAAACTATTCTTTGACTTATTTTTATATCATATATTCATATATATGTTCTTATATGAACAATTTTTTAGCGGAAAGAACAGTTATCCTTTTTCTGTCTGTTTTCCCGCAGAATAAAAGAAATCCCTAAATTGTTTCAGAAACATAAATAACGATAAGCAAAACTGTATGTCAGTTCAAATGCAATAAGAGCATTTGGAGAAATATTTCAAATTGCTTGGTCACGTAGTTCGCAGAAGGGAGACAAAACAAAAACCGAAGTTTAGCCGATCTGACGTCGTCCGTCTGCTTCTCGTTTCCTTTCTCGTTCGGGAAACGGAAATAAAAATTCCAGAGGTCGCCTCGCGCGAATGTTTATCGCACAATCAAACGCAAACGTAAAACGAAAAGATTGCAAAAAGGACGAAGGCTGGAAATGGGATAGGCTGTGAGAGAGAAGGACGAGACGGAAGGGCATGAAACGCGGTCAAAGGGAATAGGCGCGTTGCGCAAGTTATGCAATTTTCAAATGAAAGATGAGAGACTAGAGGAGAGATGACACCCGGCCTATGCACAGAGTGAATTCAAGATGACGCGTGTACATAATACGTCAAAGCCGAAACGCAATACCGGCTGTTTCCACGCAATTCTCACATTGGCGCGAAAACGTTTGGCTGTTAAGTATCATTTTTCGAAAATTAGCTTTTTGTCTTTTCAATGAGAGTTGACGAAAAGCGCAAGAGTCGCATCGATAGATGTTTTTAATAATTTGATTTTTCATTGTCCACATCTGTCGAAGTTAAATTTTATGTACAGCTGATCTTTCGAAAAGTCGCCGATGTTCGTCGAGAAAAGGAACTGGCCGAAAGAAGAAAGAATGAGCCTCAATTGGATCAAGCCCAGGATCATCTGGTTCGGAAGATCTTCTCAAGGTAAGAAAACACTTTTACCTAGTGCCTATTAATTATAGAATCAATCGGGTCAATCGATGTCGAGGTATTCGTTCTTACAACAAACAAATTAATCATAAGGGAATCCATTCTGAGAAATCGAATGAGGAAATTTACTCTTCGGGAAATATAGAAGTTGTGAACACACAAGATAAAAATACATCCGTCAATTTTTTAAATTAATTCTTAATGTCAAAATTAGTAAGTAAATCTTGCGGAATGGATTTCTCTGTCTGAAAAAAATTACAATAGTTTGAAGTTGACGACTTCCGGTTGCCACTGATAATTAAATTATTTGAAAGTATCTTTGACCCGTGTTTGTTTGACAATTAAAAAACTTTATCGAGGCATGTGAGAGAGAGCGCAATTTTGCATTCAAAATTTCTTCTTTGATATGATTCTAGACATAAGTGAATATCATTTTCAAGGCGGTATATAATATAAATCATAAGATTCTGCATACTAATCCATAATATTTTCATAGAACATGTACACGCGCGTAACATGATTTTTTTTATAATTATAGTTTGATTTTTAAATAGATATCTTATTAGCTGATTTAATTCCAGGCGTCAATTAATTACCGTTTAGAGATAACATAGACATTAACTTAATTAAGAAAAATGAAAACATTCAGTGAGTGAGAATAAACATATTAATAACGGAAATTATTAATTAATTAAAGAATCGCTGACAAAAAAGCTATAAAAACACACTTATTAAATCGGAGTGACTTGATTTTATTATTACGTTGCAGATAAAGTGCTTTAATATTTTTACATTTTATGTGCGTGTACATGCAACATTCTGCGCGCGCGCGCGCGTGTGTGTGTGAATAAGTGAGTAAAAGAGAGACGAGAGAGGAACGAATGTAAAAGATAGAGAGCGATATGCAGAGAATTTATCGCGAATGATCTTTATATCTTTGGTGGTTATTGCTGAATGTGACTGTTGATCGTGTTGCTTGGCTGGCCTGTTCTTTCCGAAAAGGTTCAAGAGCGAGGGGGAAAGCCAGATCGGCGTGTCCAGGACCGTGAGCGGACGGTCCCATCAGGATTCCGACGAGGAACTCACCGTGAACGTCCTGCCGCCCTGGCCAAGTTTTAGGCAATTTCATTATTTTTCTTACGTATTTATTTCTTCTCTAATTCTTTTT